TGGCATTTTTTGGTCGTTGTAGCCGATAATTACAGCTGCATGCCTGGAGCACTCTGGCAAGTGTAGTCTGGTCCCCATGCCCTGCCGCCAACCCAAGCTCACAGCATGCTATGGGTGCCAGCGAGCAGTGGGAGAGGAACAGGGTGCCATGGAGTGGTCACAGAGCACCGTGGTCAGCAACAAAAGGACTGTGTTACCGGCTGCTGCTGCTGCGGCAATGCCACACGTGCAGCAGAGGTCTGAGCACCAGGGCTGCCACAGAGCTGCACTCAGGCGAGGTGAGGTGCCATACGAGGGACGTTGCACATCATTGGGCACTCGGCGCCTTCGTGAAAGTGACTTCTCCCTGGCAGCTGGAGCAGCTCGGCTATGCAGGGCCAGTCGGTGCTGAGGCAGCAGTGTGATCTGGGGCTCCAAATGCACCCAGCACCGCTGTCCGCATGAGGGTCTGCCCCACGTCGCCCACCCAGGACAGCACCCCAGGCTGCGCGGGGAGCAGGACCGCGAGTAGGAGCTGTGGGCAAGGGAGCAATGTGCATGGGAATCAGGTGATCACCACCTTCCTCATCGAGGGCTGGAGCAGGCAGGAGGCCCATCTGTGTGCATTATAAATTCGAAACAAACAAAAAAGGTTTATTTATGTCAGTAGTGTAAAATGCCTTGCACTATTACTAAATATTGGTTATCGGACCGATATGGTTGGTTAATCATCAGCTATTGGTATTGGTTAAGAAAATCTTTATTGGTGCATCCCTACTGAAAAGGACAGGGGGAGAGCAGGACAGTGTGTTGTCTTCTTCAAGTCAAGAAATGAGATATGATGGAGAAACTTTCGATGTAGTTGGGCAAAGTGTCACTGGGAATGATGCTTAATCAGCACTAATGGCACTGCAGATGGTCAGGGACTTCATTACTGCTCAGACAGGTGTCCAGAAGAATGTCCAAGCGAGACATTTCTGTGAGATTTTTCCTGTCCCTCAAGTGAAAGTGGCAGAAGGAAGTGAACCACTGGTAATTGTGAAGTGAACCACTGGTAATTAAGTGGTGTGAAGATGGGGCTTTGGCTCTGTGGAACATTGTTCCACGTTCTATAGGAGAGGTGGGGACTCTTCAGTCTGAGAGGAGGCCATGCACGAGAACAAATCTATTCTAAAAGACTGGCTAAAGTCGCTACAAAAGGAGAGGTTGAGAAGTGGACAGGGGTGAGTACTCATTAAGCACGAAATCAATCAAGGAACAGCTAAATGAGAAATTTATCAGTGGCTCAAACACCAATGCTAGCAGTTAATAAGAAGAATTGGAAATTTGAGCTCATACATATGAGCTATTTGGTATTATGGGAGCCTAGTGGGAAGATTCACAGGTTTATAACCTATTTAGGAAGGACCATGTGGGCAGAAGGGGAAGAGGAGTAATATTATGGAAATAAAAAGAAATATTCTAAATCACCGAGAGCTTTAAAGCATGGGATCTTGATGTTTAGGCCTGTTTGAACAGGTAAAGCACAAAATGGTACCTGTGAGACAGCCCCAAATCATGTAAGAAGACAGTCAGACAAACAGTCAGTGCCTTTTTGTACACTCATCAGGCTGTTATATTGGTCTCACACACTGGATTCAAGCATTTTTCAACTTTCCTGGGTCTGAGCAGAGTCCAGGCATTGGCTCTGGGTTTCTAGACACTCATCTGGCATGTAAACTGTCTTTGTAGCCCCTCTTGTACCCCGAGTTGAGACCTCTCAGTCCCACTGTCACAGCTCCAAGGCTTACGCCAACTCCCGATTGCTTAAGTACACCTCTGCCAGAGCTCCACTGTAGTACTGTGATTTAGTTTACTTCTTCAACAACACATCAGAATTGAAGCAAACAGGCACAGGCTTTGCAAAAGAGGCTTCTTTAAACCATTACTGTCTAAACAGCCTGAGATATGCAGATCTAGCTTAAAAAATCAACAATGTTGATATGTCATTTCCTACTCCCATTTCCTTATTGCTCTTGAGCATTCTTTGGACCTGGTCAATCTCTAAGGCAGTGATTTTCAAACAGGGTACTATGACACCCTTTGGCGCCTTGAAACCCTTTCCAGGGTGTTGTGAGATGACATGCAGTATTATCACTGCTAAGTGTTCAAACATGATTCATAGGATAAACCCATAGATTTCAAATAGGAATCCATAATGTTAAAAACACTGACCTGTTGTGATATTGCTGAATTCTTTGCAACAGAAGAATCCAAAAAATGGCAGTATTATTTTTCTGTAGTCAAAGCATGAGTGAAAACTAAGAGCTGGCATTTTCTAAGGGGTGCCTTGAGAATAAAAAGCTTGGGAACCACTGCTCTGAGACCAGGATCCTTCCTGAACCTTTTTCTGTCCTGAGCAAGATTTCTGTGTAACATGGATTTTCTTGCTTTTGACACCCCTCCAGCACCCTCCTCCGTCCTCCCCACCCAAACTCAGGTGTCCTTCTGCTCTCGAAGGTAAACAGTGAGAGAATCTTTCTTTCAAAGCTTCCCATCTCCTGTCTACCCCTAGACGGCCCACCCCGCAGCCCCACTCCGCAAGTAACCAGGTCACCTGGATAGACTGGTTCTTCTGGGCAATATCTAGCTCATTAACCCAGGGAGTGCCATTTGAATAGAAGATCAAGGTTTCACAACCCTCCTGTTCAACTCCTTTTGGAATTCCATGCCAGGGTGGAGGTAGAAAGAAAGCAGGGAAGGCATAGATTGGTTTTATAATTGAGATTAAGTTTGTGGTTCATTGAAGATATATATGGAGTATCTACAGCACAAGCATAAATACTCCCTTTAGACCAGGTGCAAGGGTTCTGCAGTGATATGTCCTTGGCACAGTGCTAGTTATGAATGACATGGAAAACATAAAATCTTAACTGGTGAAGTTTGCAGAGGACACACAAATTTGGGGGTGTGCTTAATTATGAAGGGGACAGGTCATTAAGATAAACCAATCCGCTTGGTAAACTGGGTATACCCAGTATATGTTTAGCAAGACTGAAATGCATAAAATAATACCTCCAAGAACAAAAAGAATTGTCCAGGAGCGAGGAGGACAAAACCATTGCCCTAAGTCTTTTTCCAAGTTGATACTTGTAACAGGGTTCACCTCCAGGGGTGGCTATGATGCCCCTCAGCCCTTATCCACTCTGCTGTCTTTGGACAGTCACCCCTCCATTCTCCCACCATACCTTGGTATATCTAGCTTTTAGATAAGGGAGGCTGCCTTAGGGCTTCCCAAACCTGATCGCCTTCTCATGACCACAGGTGTCTGTGGTCATTGTCTTAAGGGCTAATCGCATGGCTCTATCTATCTGTCCATACACCATGCCCCATGCCTCAGACATACACTCACTGATGTCAATTCAACTTCCAATTCAACTGCTCCTCCAGGGCACTTCACCTTTCTTGGCTACTCCTGAGTGCAGCCTTCCTACCTGGAGTCACCCACTCTGCCCCTCTCAGACTTTGGGCCCTTGGCCCCTACCCCCACCCTTTGCAAGCTCTCAGAGCCCCTGGTCCCATAGTCAGACCCTCTCTAGGTTCCCAGACCCCTTACTGGGCCCCTAGGGACTTCTTCCACCCCTTAGTCTCTTTCCCAAAACCTCCAGACTGCTACAGGCTATACTCTCAGTGCTAGCATTCAAAAGCTGCAGTCATCCTGCTTAGGCAATATCCCATTAGCAGCCTCCAGAACCCTACTGCCTGCTCAGCTCAGGGTCTGGGCTTATATCCTTTCTAAGCCCAGTCCCCTTCTGGGTCATGTGGCTCCTGATTGTCTTTGGCCACACCTGCTGCCTGCTTCTTCTGCCTCCTGCCTGCTCTTATAAGTAGCAGGAGCACCAAGCATCCTGCTATAATGCTTTGTAGGATAATCAGCTGTACATGAGTTTTCAGGATGATACCAGGCTAAAAGGGGCTAATGTCACCAGGTATAAGAAGAGGAGACTATGGAGGAAGAGTTAGAGAGTCAATATTTAGCACCAGGGTAACCTCTGTTGGGATATAGAATCCCATTCTGAGATTCACAATTCAAGAAGGATGTTCCAAAACTGCAGAGAGCTCAGAGAAGAGCCTCAGGAGCAATTACATGATCAGAAGGCTGGGCCAAGAGTGAGAGACTCTAGGAGCTCAGTTGATTTAGCTTATCAAGGAGAGAACTGGAGGGGACATGATCAGTCTGTGGATGAATATAAATTTTATAGATGGCTCTTCAGTCTGGCAGACAAGCGCATCATGAGATCCAGGTGCTGGAAAGTGTGGTTGGACAAATTTAGACTTGTAGTGTGGTACCCAGTTCTAACAGTAATTTACCAGTAGAACAACTTGACAAGGGTGGTAGTGAATTCTCCATCACATGAAGTCATGCTTGCATGCTTGTCCCTTCTGGCTTTATAATTTATGCTGGTGAGAGCACTATTAGACAACTATAGTCGATGCTACACAAGGGCTTTAACCAGTACAAATATGTCAAAAAGTTATACCCCTGACCAACAGTGGCACACTACCAAAGTTTCTAGCATAGATCTAGTGTTCACCTGTGATACTTACTACTACTCCTTGGATTCCCTGTCTGCAAAATGGACTTGATACTTATCTACCTTACAAGAGATGAGTTGGTGTTCATAAAGCATTTTAGTGGTACATATGGGTTGTGTCTACATGTTCATTAGTGCACCTTAGATACTGTGTGTTTAGTTTAGTACTTGCTTAATAAAGTACTAACTAAATGCACAGTAACTAGAGCACAGTAGCGCTGACGCACAGTTATTTTGTGATGCTTACTGAGCATTAGCCTAGTAATAACACCATGCAGTAGGCTATCAGCATGGTTTTTAACTGCCATGCTACTGTGCAATGTTATGCAGACGTGCCCAGTGATGCTATGATATGTATTATTAAAAGAATCAGTCTAATAATTGAATGCAATGGGCCTTCTTTCAGACAGCAACATGGGTTTTAAGCTATTTTTCATTTTCTTTCAGGAGCCGCAAAATTCAGATAAGAAATATCCCACCTCAGCTACGATGGGAAGTAAGTAAAGATGAATGATAAATAAAGAGAATGTAAGTGCGAATAAAGAGAACTAGATTAAATCAACCTCTAAAGATTTAGAGAAGAAACCAGCCCAGAATCTATGTCTGGTCTCTGCACAGATTTTATATTGGTATCAATTCTTCTCCCTGCGATAGTTACACTAGTACAGTCTCTAGTGTGGATGTAGTTATGTTGGTATAAAGGGAGCCTTATGCTCATATAACTGACATTACAGGAATAAAGCTACACTGGTATAAGCACCCTTACATTTATGTCTGCACTAGGATCGGTTGTACAACTGTGACTAGATCCTTATACCCTGCCCTCCAGGACCCTCTTCCACATAAACACTCCTTGGGGCCAAACTCACGCGAACATGCTTATTTTCAGTGGCCTTTTTTTTGACTTGGCACAAAACAATTTGAAAACTGCCCTGCCAGAATAAGAGTATCCACACAGGGAGTTACACTGGTAAATACACAGCAGGGTAAGTTTGCAATTTACCGTATACCAGT